CGGGCACACACCGCTCGGGTTAGGAGGCCACACTGCTGTTGCACACCAAAGCTCACCTTGGTGCTCCCCTGGTCCTGGGCTAGCACTGCTTCCCCTGAAGGCAGTTTTAACTCAAGCAGCTGAAACAGAAACTGGGGATCAGCAGAAGGTAGGAGAGTGCCGGTATGTTCCCCGCTTTGAGCAGCAAAGTTATCAGAGGGTCTTCCCAGCTATGCAAGTGACTTCCCAAAGCTAAATGCAGCCTCAGCACATCAAGAACCTGACTGAAGATGTTTCACACAGGTGAGGACAAGTTGTTCTTGTTAGTTTTGAAGAATTTTCTGTTCATCTCCCCTATCCTACAGCTGAGGAACGTGCCAGCTAGATGGCACAGGAGTTCAACAGGAGACAACTGCATCCTCCAGCTAGCAGATTCCTTGGACAGACAGCACGTCGAGGTATGCTGTTGGGACAGCATTTGGGCTGCAGTGCATTGTTGGAAGCCCCATCTCACACTTCCCACCCCCCATACAGGGCCTTCAGCTATATGTTCTTACATAACCACAGCCCCTTGTTGTTTATACTATGCTTGACACAAAAATACCGGAGAACTGACCTCTTTAAGGCCTTTTTATTTCCCCATTAATTCAATAAGATGCATGTGGAAGCTGATAAAAATATTTTGATTTTATCATAAGCTTCACAGCACAGCTAAAATTCCCTTCCCAAAGCTCAGGAAAACATCAGTTCAAACATACCAAGACTGCACTTGAGTTTTCTAATTTATAAAGATAGGTTTTTACAAAAGAGTAAGTTTTACATTTTAGTTTCACAAAACTTGAAAAACCATTTACAAGATGATCAGCATATTTTGGAGCAAAAACAAACAGGTGAAGCAAGCACAGAAAAAAGGTGAGGGCTGGCTGTATCTGAAGAGACCCATTTCCAAGTTATTCAGAGGTGCCATCTACCACCACCATCCTCTCCGTACAGCGGACACTGTGTCTGAAGTGAAGGTAAAACAAAACCAAACCAAACTCAGATCAACTCCTGCTCTTAGAACACCCACCTCCGTGTCAGCTGGATGTGAATCACCGCACCATGCAAGGTTCCACCTACGTCGTACAGCTTATTTATTACAGCTCCTTCACTAAAGCCCTGACACCCTTTGCAGTGTCACCAAATACACCTCAGCACCATGGAAACAAACAACGATGGATCTTTTACTGGGAATAAAAACCAGCAGAGCATTGCGAGGATGGCATTTCCTGGCTGTAGACAGCTTTTTTGGTGGTTCCATTTATTAGTGAGCTGGACGGCAAGCTAAGGCAGTTTGAGAAACAGTGCAGCTGTCAGGAGGAGTGTAAAAAAACAACAGGCTACCTTGGGAGAAGAAAAAAAAAGAAGAGACACAGCTAGAGAAAGATTAGATAAAGACACAGAAAAGGGGAAGAAGGGATGGCCCTCCCAAACTCAATCAGCAGGGGAAAAAAAAATTTAAAAACCCACAGCCGGAGATAAGATTCAGTATGTTATGTCCTGAATACACAGGTTTTCATCAAAGCACCTCAGACTGCAAGCAAAGGCAGCTTTAATGATGATTGATTTCATTCTCACAATTAACCTACTGTATCTCTGTGGCAACAGAAAGAGTAGGAATAACTTGATAATGACCTGGCTTTATGCTGCAGAAGGACCCAGCACCATAAGTAGGTCGGAAACAGTCAGAATTGATATGCTGGAACACGCACGAGCAAAGGCTGTGAGCAGAGTGCCAGGCGGGATGTGCGACTCCACGTATAATTAATACAACAAATAATCTGTTAACTGAAGGCCACCTAACCCATAGCCTCTCGCCCTCTTCTACCCGGGGGAGGAGGAGAATGCTGAAACCTGAAAGGAGATCAGGATCCCCAGAGCACTTTAAAAGCAGATCCCTGCCACGTGTGCAGGGAGCAAGTGATGTTAAGTCACGCTTAAACCAAAGCGGCAGCAAAGATGTGAGACGCAGTGAGGGACAACACAAAGCCACCCTGCAGCTCCAGCAGCGACAAGAGATCCGCAGAGGAAGGGATGGGGAAGCAGCACTCGCAGCCATCAGCAGCCAGTGCCAGGAGCAGCTGGGGAGCCGCTGCGCCACCTCTTGTCACTTCTTGTCACTCAGGTAAGAGAGGTACAGAGCTATAATAAGGCAGTTTTCTGGGCAAACGGACAGCTCTGGCTCAAACACGGGGTGCAGTTCATTCCCAGAAGTCCCAGGGGCTCAGGAAGGAAAGATTTCTTTCTTGGATCCCACCTTACAGATTGGCAAAACTGCATTAAAAAAAACTGAAAAAAAATTTAACAGTACTGCTAAAGAAAAAACAGAACAAAACAAAAACCCAAAAAAACCCTGAAAAAAACAAACCTGTACACCAACATTCTCTCAAGTTAGCTGTGAAAATGGCTCCGAAAGGAAAGAAAAGAAAGATGATTTAACATTTGTTAGGTTTGGTCGGTTTCCTCAGGCTGGCCAATCCAATTTTCAAAAATTTTGCAGAACAACATGCACTAGGTAAACCTTCATCTTGAGATCCCAAATTGCAGAAGATTGCACTCACTGTGTTTTTGAGGGAATTTTCTTCCCAGTGAAGCAAATTCATGTAATCAATCAAAATCAATGAGAATAATAATTGAAGAAATATTTGCTAAATTCACGACAGCAAAACTACAGAATGGTAAACTAACAGAAACAACTTCAGAAATCAAAGGACACTAACATATTGCCGCCATTTTGACTACTATCCACCTTACGCTAATACTCAATATTCTCCTCTTATTTCAAAAATTGGTGAGCACCATTCCCACTCTTAAGTATGAATCTCTGTGGAAATGGCCAGAGATAATAGCAGCTCCAGTCTGGACAGAGACACTCACACATCAGATGGATCAAGTGCAAAGTGCACACTTGAGTTGTTGAGGGGAAAAAGGGTCAGGGAAGGCTGCCGATAACTGGCTGATAACACCTTTCTATGAAGCACTGAGCTCTAGCTGCTAAAACTGGGAAGTTCACCGTTATTACTTCTTAGTGAGATGTCAAGTTGTGATGTCTTTTTTTTAAAACCACCTGAACTGAGAGCAGGCATAAATGACAGCAGCCAAATCACAGCACCGCTCCTGTCAGTTTTCATGGCAACCAAATACTTGTGAAAATATAACTTGAATAGGTATTCTCTTTCCATTGTCTGGCAACACAAAAGTGAAAGGAAAGAAACAGTTGGATGAGGTAAGTTACCAGATGACCAGAGTGACTCCATTTATTGCTAAGCAAAGCCAGCTCTTTCTCCCCTTTAAAAGTGAAAAGGAAGAGATCTTTGAATCCACTGAAAAGGAAAATAAATGAAACCCACTTGTGAAAGCGTCACAGACTCTGGTCAGCATATGCTCAGACCACAGCAGAAAGCTACAGCACATTAACAGAAAGTGTCAGGGTGAGGTTCCCAGCTGAGGAATCACTATTGCATCAATTTTCCACACGCATTTCAAGAGCCAGAGCCAGTTGTAGTCACGAACTGAACCAACATACTGTAATATAAAGAGAGCGGCTGCTAGGGAGGTGACAGACACATTACAGCCCACGTTCTCAACAGTACTTGGCAGCTTTATTCCACTCTATCAGCATGGGACATTCAACTTCCCCCTCCCACACTTTTTTTTTTTTATTTTGACACAGGCTCCAGGAGCCCTCAGGTAGCTTAATGCCATCTTCACCTTGGTCTTGGATAATCACATCACCAATACAGCAGTGGTCAGGATTACAGGAGCAAACAGTAGGCTTCATTTCTCACTGCCATATCTCCTACTTACTTCTTTTATTTACCCTTTCTGTGAATAATAGCTCAAGCTTCACTAATATGAAAATTCACACAGGGTAAATAATTCTTGGAGATAGAAACAATATAGACAGCCAAGCATGAAATGCAAGCATCTAAAATGAACTCCTTGAGGCATTCAAAAGCAAAGGAAAAATACAGGGGAAATCAGTCAATCTGAACAAAGATGTACTTTACAAATATTTTGTAATCAGAAAAATAAGTCACCTGAGTTCTACACTGATCCTGTGCCTAAACTTCTAAATCTGACTATCCTTGAGCCCCAGAGAAGCTACCAAGTCTTACTGAGTATTTAGGAACCAGACAACGTTTCTATGACAGACTTGGGAAACTCGTATTCAGGGGCATACGTACTCCTCTGAAACAATTATATTCTGCTACTAAATTACAAGACTTTCAGTTCAGTAGGAATATGTTCTTGTCCCCCTCCTAGCACTCTAGGGTCCATAAAGTTAGATTTAGGGGTTGTGGTTGGACGGAGTGTTCATGAAAAACAAGAGGTTCTGCATCTGCTCTCTACTGAAACTATAGCAACTGGGCATCTGTTGAGTCTATTGGCACTTGTAAGACGGAAATTTCACAGTACAGCATCAGACATCATCTATTAAAGATGCTATCACATAAATGTAAAACCAACGAATGTGAAATTGCCTGTAAGCCTGTTCACTATTACAGAATTTATCCCTGTTTTTTGAAAATTAAGTTGTACTCTCAACGGGTTACTCGATGGCTTCTGACCCTGGTGGGCTACAAATGTTAGCTAATTATGTTGACTTGGCCTAGGTTAATTTTAATCTGCTTAATTTAGTTACAGTTGAGTACTTGCATCACCTACCCATCTGTCTCAACTTAGATAATTTTGGATATTTTTGAACAAGAACTCCCTTCATTAACTAGAACTAAAAGGATCTTGGTTTTAAACAAAAGTCAAAACCAGCAAAGATGGTGTTAGATGATACTTTACTGGGAAAGGGAAAAATACCAGTGTTGCTGGCTGCAGAGTTCACCTGCTAGTTCTAATGTTTTTGAAAGAAAGCAAGTAAAGTGTCAAGCTCTTCCTAGTGAACCTGGAAGTGCTGGGAAAAGCATGTGGTCTAAATGGACACAGGGCAAAGGCTGTCACAAGAAAGGCTATAAGTCAGTACTTCATCCTCGCAGACACAGCACTCTCCCACAGGCTTTACAGAAGCAACCACATCGTAATGACACCAGCCAGAAGTTAACAGAGTAGCATCAACTGAACACTGGTATATCACACCATATATAGTGTGAAATATATATATATATATATAAAAACATTAACTAGTCTTTTTCCTATTGAAAGTAAAGAAATTGCATGACACAGAAACAGACTCGAATTTTCCTTATTTTCCCATTTCAGTTATCCCATCTGCTCTACAAACAACAGAATTACCCATTTGCCTGTGTGCTCAGCTGAAGCAACGAGTTATCCAGTCCACAAGATTTGTCAGGACACTTGGAATGAGTTTCCTATTGCTCCTCCTCTCCTCTCCTCATTTGCTCCTCCTCATTGGACTGTTACCAAGAGAAATAACTTTCCTATCATGTATTTGGCTTCCATTCTGTCTCAAGTCCAAGCAAGTGGAAGAACAAAAGAAATACAAGTACTTAAGACAATTCGTTCCCTTATCCATTCCCTCAACATCCACTCTCTTCTTAAGTTTCCGTAAGTAGCAACGGCATTTTCTGTTTCATCCCAGCTGGGTCATCCAGTTAATAGTGGGATAATTCATCACTACAACTTATCCCTGAATCCAAGATGTCAGCAGAATCACTGAAAGGATTAGACATGGATGTGGATAACAGCAGCGCTTATGTTTACAGTAAGAGAAAGACATAAGTCTTGTTGCAGATTACATAGACCAATTACTACTGCCTGGCACAGAGATGTTGTTTATAGCCAAGTTCTCCCACAGTTGTCCACTCCGGGCATTTTTTACATTCCAGAAAGCCCGTTATCTTCAGGATACTAATTTTGCTGCCATGGTCACCCTGTGAGTCCTGGAGTGTAGATACCAATTACAATATGGGATAAGCAGAACATTCCTTTTCCCTCTAAAAGCTTGACGACCCTCCAATTAAAAAAAAAATTGAAAAAAAAAGTTAATATGATCCTGAAACACATTAAGTGCAAGTGCCAAAAAGCTGCCTCTGCCTTCCTTAGACATAATGCTTTTGGAGATCCCACACTACCTTTTCTCAATCTGTATGTTAGTTTTGCATCTTACACATCTGGATTTCCTACCAGTCATGTGTGCCATAAAACAACGTTTTAGATACAAAAAGCACTTGTGGAAAACGGACATCCACTGAGAGATCAGACAAACATCTAGTCCTCCCCCATAGTTTAATCCGAACCATATGACTCTTTCCAAATCATCCTTGGAGTGCAGACATCAATTAGCAAATGGAAACCTGAGCATGAGCCACATTTTGCAAATAGATTGATGAGAAATGCGTCCAAACAAACTCGTGATGCTGATTAATCACAGGAAACTAATAAGAATATGCACTGACAGGAGCTTATCATCTCTGTATTAATTCACACTTATGATAGCTTTGCAAACACAGAAATCAAGGACTACACGTTTCCCTGTTGTTTTGATTCTTGAAAAGCAATCCCAGTTTTTTATATATATATATACACACACACATTATAATCAAACAGAATTTAATAAAAGCAATAATCAGACTGCTTACTATCTGTGAATCAAAACTTAAAATCACACTGAAGAAACACATGTTCATTGGTGCCAGTGCCAAATAATAAGTGTAACGAGCAGCCGTACCATTGAATTTTTCACACTCTGCAACAAGCGCTCGTGTTGTTCTGCTATGGCCAAAGCAGCTGAGTGAACCTTCTGATAGATTGCTTCCCCATCTCTGGTCTGAAAAATGAATAGTCCTTCTCCTGTGTCACACATCCTGCCAAAGCAAGAACAGACAGGATCCAAGTGTGAGATTTAAGTTTACAGGTCACCATGAACAAGCAAAACTTTACCATGCTGCTCTATAAGCACTATTGCACAAGCAGGAACAAAACAAAGATTGTCAACATATGGAACGAAGTTATCTACAAGCCTTTGGACCAGGGCTGCTAAGACCCATATGCAATGTTACTATTCTAGCCCATAGCTATACTGCTTTCACCAAACAGGGACCCAGCTAAGTACCACAGATCCATCATTAAGTGCTTAAGCTCTAGAGAGTTCATGCACAAGATCCAGATTTCGAACATTCAGACCCGATCTAGAATCTGTGCCAGGTAGGATTAATTTGTCTTCCCCTTTCAGACTTTTAACACTGCCTGTAATGAGCTTTGCAGAGTTTTGTATTCCACTTGAAACAATAAATACATATCCTCAGCATCCCAGTTGCATCGTCCTATCACAGCTAACGCATGATCAGCTAAACAAAAATGCATCCTTTCCCTCTGCCAAGAGGACTAAATTCTGCAGTAATATAGAGCATGGTCATTTAAACTCCTCTTCTCTTTCCAGATAAGTTAATTGTATGATCTGTTTCTCTTACTTTTGTAACTCTTTAATGTGCTTATCTAAAATAATGCATTCATATCCCTCAAAGTATTTGATAGTTCAGTTCAATAAACAAGTGCTCCAACTTCATCCAGACAAAGACTTCAGCTCATTAAGACTGAGATGCAGGAAGCAACACAGAACATCTCTAAAATGAGGATTTGTACTCGAATTTCTTATAAATCCTTTTGTCAAAAAGACAGAAAACAGGAATACAACCAATGTAAAACAGGCGTTCCTTCTCCCACTCTGTGCCCAAAGGCCCACACTGTACAAATTCTGGAATGATGTTCACCCCTTCTTCCCAAATCTGTCCATCCAATTCTCTGGCTCATATATAGCTTTATTTAAGAACAACCCCGTACAGTAATATACAATGCTGTCAGTCTCCACCTGCAATCCCCTGGGATACCTCAGCTCTTCCACCCCTGTCCTCACGCACTTCTAGTTGGCAACTGCTTCCATTCAAGCTGCAACCTGGGATTAAGAGGGGTTTTTAATATTTGTTTCAATATTTAAATTTTTTTTTTTTTTAGCAGAGGGTACAGACTAGCCTCTGTCTCAAGATAAGCTCTCATGTCCTCCATGAACCTTCGGAAGCGGCCCAGAGCACCACCCAGCACCATTGAGGAAAGCAACACACAGAGCAAACACACACCTACCTCCCTGCTTCAAACGTGAACCAAGATGGGTCCCGCCCGTAGCGTCGGAGGGCACTTAATGGCCAAGAGATGAGTTTTACTCTGGGATTCTGGATGTCCCAAAGACAGATATTCTCAAATGTTATCTGCAAGGTACATTCCCCATGCACATCTAAGTTAGGGGATGGCATCAAATACACATTGAATCTCTCTGGGAGAAAAACAAAAGGTTAGTCTAAAATCCCTGCCCATTAAATGTGCAAGTCATTAAAGGAATTTCCTATTTTCCATCTCTAATACAAGATCTTTTTTCCTCTTAGAACAATTAATTAAAAAAAAACAAAGACTCAATTCCTTCCAGTAACTCAACAAACTCCATGTTTGGGGCAGTCAGAATGCTGCACTTAAAGGACGCCAAACATTCGTGCGTGCATTCAGACGTTGAAGAGAACTGCACCATCATAATCCTGATATTTGCAAACAATTAATAAAATTGTGTGTATGAATAAATACATTGCAATTGCATTTGTGCATGCAATTAGTTAATTTGCATAGGAAAGTGAAGTAGCCATGGGCTCAGGTTTTGCATGCAATTACTATTATTTAGTATTCGCTTTACAATGCTGCCAAAGAGCCTCAGTCACAGACTGAAGCTATTGTACAAACATCATACAAGCAAACATACAACAAAAGATAGTCTCGATCTCCTAGAGTAACTAACTAGCCTGAGAAAGAAAAGTGCTACTTCAAAATAATTCTAGCTACCTCACTTATCTCTGGTAGGAATTTAAAACAAACAGAAGACAAAAAAAAACACCAAACAAAAACAACCCCCACAAAACAGGAAGGAGGGCTTAGACAAACAATTTTGCTCCAATTTATTTCTGATATAGATCTACACAGTCTGAAAGACTTTAAAATAATCTAATGAAGGATTTAAAAAGTCAACATTTATGTACCTACCACTTTGCTCCCTCTCTACTCCAGATGCCAACAAGTCAGGCTCTCCAAGGCTAATGTCATTAATTCGCGTTCCAAGACACTCCATCTGCAGCACCTTGCACCACTCATCTGCCTCAAGTTCTGTATAAATGCCCAGAAAATCTGTGTGTAGGTATAATACATTTATAATTTCACAATTGATGCTCTAATGTTTTCTAATGTGCGTTGCCATTTTACCCACCTGACTCACAAGCAAAGGTTTTTGATGTGTCATCATTAAAATAAATCCCAACAGCATGTTTCTTTGTGCTTTTTGGCATTCGTAATATATTCTTCACATTATTGAGCTCTGTGACCTGAAAAAGCACAATTTGGAGTTTTAATTAGGTACTTGAAAAGCTATATATCCATTATTGACTGGAGAAGGAAAGAAAAGAATTGTATCATGTTGCAAAGGACAGAGAAAAGGAGAGAGAGCATGAACATGCCTATGATTGCTCTTAAAGAAGCCGTCTTGACATGAATCACCTTAGACAATCAACTTGAAGACCCTGGATGATGAAGCAGCCACATCCTCCAGTTCTCTCTTGTCTGTACATGACCTTCAGTGCAACACCATCTGAACAGGATCTTAGCTGAGAGGCAGGTAGAATCAAAGCTTACTCCAGTTTGAGAAACATTTATGTGGATAACATGAGAAAGACCAACCTGATATAGCAGAAGCAAAGAGGTGAAGGTAAAAATCTAAAGGATTCACCCATTTGGAGGAGCAAGTCCAGTTCCAGCACAGCTTTCGTATGGAGGACAAAACTGTAAGAATGGTGAAAAGCTGCTCTCTAGATTATTTTTTGATGGAAAGTTGAGGATTTGTTAGAATGGTCCACTTAAAAAACAAACAAACAAACAAACAAAAAATCACAGTTTTAGTTATTAGAAAGCTTTTTAGCTTTAAAGATTCACAGACTTGTAAACACAGATTTCTGTTGCTTGGTTGCCAAAAACTGCTTGGAAAATAGCTTTCAGGCCAAAAAAAAAAAAAAACCAACTCACACATGCATCTATTACCTCGTATACAGCTTTAGTAAATACATACTACAGTTGCTTCATATTTCCAACAACCACTTTTCACCCTCACAACCATAAGTAACACTCCTAAATTTGATTGAGGAGGAATTCTTTTTAAATTCCTTTCAATATAAAGGCTAACACCCAGACAGGGAATTGGGAAGTTATATTTACATATTCAAGATCAGAAATCATTTCACTGATTCTTTTACATGGCAGGGGCTGAAGAGAAAGAAGGGGGATTTAACACAAATGTTCCCAAAGCTGTACAACCTAACAATGCCACTAGTTTGGTCTCAGTTCTGTGGAATAGCCTCATATCAAACTGTGCCAACTCTAAGCAAAGAAATGCAGCAATTGTCTTATCTACAAGACTCACAAAGTATAAAGAGTTATCAGTGTTGTAGGGTCCAGCAACAGAAACCACTCCTCTAGAGCATCTCGCGTTCCGCAGGACACCCACTGCATATCTCTGGCCCTTCATCCTAAATCAATTTCTTCTTGGAGACAATTTATTGCCCATTCCCTACTAGCAAGGCAGAACAGACGGTCAAAGTCACATTTTCAAGCAAGACCCCTAAAAAGGGTAATCTTCCTGTGAATGGGAGGAACAAAGAGCAGTTGGTGGGCAATGCCTCTCCAAACTAAAAACAAACAATAGATCCAATGTCTGGAAACTCATTCTATGGGCAGTAGCAGAAGGAAATAAGGGAAGGATCATCCCATGTCGAACACACCAACCCTTCTGCATAGCTGCCAAATTTAGAACTCAGGTTTTTATAGCCTCCAGGTGCAAGATTTTGAGACGTGTCAAAACTGAAACTGCCTAACTGCGCTTAATTTTGCATGAGCATATTTTACTCTTCCAGGAAATCCTGTGATGGAAGCACATCCCCTAGTGCTAACAAGACACCGACAAACTCATTGTTAAATATGACAAATCTGTCATAATCTATTCCCATCGTGCTCAGCACATGACAGGTCAGGCACAAATTGCCAGTTGCCAAGTTCAACTCACATGTTTTTCTCACATGCCAAGAAAGGATTCAAATGCAAGAAGGAAAAAAAAAAAAAAAAGAGCTAGACTTTTCATTCAGGACAGCAACTACCTTGACATTTCTACAGAGCACATTTACATTTTCTGCAAGTGAACGTGCTAATGAAGTTTTGTACCTACAAGTGCAAAAGTTAGCAGAAGTGGGATGTAGCCATACATTTTGGTAATGAATCATTTAGCTATCTAGGTTTTGTCCTAATGGAAAGCTGTTTTCTTCAAATCAGGCATGCCACTCTCCTGCTGCTGGTTATCCCAGTAATTGTCTCTAGCCTGATGAATCCTAAGGATGCTTTGACAGGGCTCAGTGAGATCATGAAAGGTTTATACTAGTCAGGGAATAGTAAACTGCCTCTCCAAGCTGGCTCAGGAGCCAAAAGCACTTTCAGCAGTTAGGGAAGGCTCAGAAGTACCAACTGGTCAGCTGCTGCCCATGCCCCCCAACAGCCCTGGTGATGGGTAGCTTGTGCTGCCTCAGCCCTGGGCAGGGAGGCACCCTGCATCCTAGGGAGGGAGGCAAAGGACACTTGACCATGTGGGAGGCTGCTAGCTACTGCACAGGGCTGGGAAAGAAAAAACAACCACCAACCAACCAACAACACCAAACAAAGCATCGCTAATGTCCCTGTGTTCAGAGTGAGTCATGCACCTCTTAGCCAGACGGGAGCACATGCTCCTAACGCTGCTGGGAACGTGAGAAGGACAAGATTAAAGTATTTGCTTTGTCTGCCTACACTAAAGGAGAGAGATTTCTGATCACTGTTTCTTTTACTATGACTCCAACCGGGTACATCTTACCTTCACCACTCCCAGCATCCCTAAGACCACACTTTATCCCCTAAGTTGTCACGTTTAACTCTCATTAAGGCTCCAAGCTGCAACTACTGCCCAGTCTCCCTACATGAGCTCCTGCAGTCTCTGCATCCCTGGCACAGAGTATCCATCACCCATTTCCCCTCATTTCCATACTACCAGAGACATCCTGCACTTTCCAGTCTCTGCACTCTGATCTCCAGCTCACTCACACCCACCCGAAGGCTTCCAGCCTTGCACACTGTTGCTTATGTGTCATATCCACATTGCAGCTCTAAGACTGCATCATCTCTGAACCCAGACACAGGGACCAAGATTTGCTCCTGACAGTATCTCAGATACCCACAGTCTTCTCTCCAGTCTAAGGCTTCACATCAGAAGCAGTTGGTCATTCCAACAAGATCTACCCAGCACACAGAGTAGGACAGAAGCCACGCACAAGCCTTGCAACCAATAATTTTCTTCCTTTAGGTCTCCCAGTCAAGAAAAGTTCCACCAGAAGTTACACAACAGCTCCTCCTCCATCCTATGGCCCAGCATAGCAATCTCATATCTCCTCCCCTCAAGTGAGGACAGCCACTTTTCCCACCGTTACTTCAGTGGGCCATTAGGGAGTTGTTCAAAACTCAAGGTGTCCAGAAGTATGGTGGCTGGGTGACTTGGCCTCATGACAGCATAACTCACAACTCCCTCATTCCTCCACTAAATAAAAAGAAGCATGAATATAATGGCATCGTTGTTTTGGAGCCAAGAATAGCAATAATTTTTTCCTTCTTATCATAAATTCCACTCAAGTGCCTGTTAGTTACTGCAGTAAAGTACTTTTTTGTAATCTCAAATGCAGAGTAATATATTCCAATAGAGATTTTACAAGAATCAGATCATGCTTGAAATCCCAAAGTTCATCCTTCTGAACAGAAATATTTGTTTTCATTTGAATATGCCTTCTCCTACATTTGCTTTTTAGTATGCTTAGAGGGAGTACAGTAATATGTTATGAAGAAGACAATGCAGATTACCCAAGACATTATTTATCTCTTATCTATTGACTTTGCAATATTCACAGTGGTCTATTTTGCTTTTCTGGGGTATCAACCAGCACTTAATTCATCTTTCTAAGTAAAAACTCTCCCTAAATCAACATAAGAGCAGAGGATGAAGACAGAGAGCACACAAGCGTGCCACTGACCTGAGTGTTAGTGCAAGGGCAACTCAGACTGATGGGCTCTTCCCTGAGTCTGCAGGGTGGGTGTATAGGGAAGGGAGGAAGGAAAAAGGGGTACAGAGATGGGGTGAGCATGAACAACTTAATGATGTAAGGATTTTTTTTTTAATGTGTTTATAAAGATCTAGCCTAAGTCCCTTCCTCATCACTTTACCCCACCTCCAAGTGCTATATACTGGGAAAAGGACGGAGGGACATGACAGGGACCAAACGTAAGTCCACATCCTGCAACAGTGTGCAGTAAGTCAGGTGCTTCCTGAATCACCTTATGCCCTGTGTGAATGCAGACTGACTGCACTGCAAAGCACAGCAGCCATGTGCCAAAAACATGTTCCAAGAGCCCTGGCTTACAGCCTGGTCAAATAAAATTGCAAGTGAATTCAACCCTTGGGTGATATCTTGAAGAAATACCTAAATCAATAGTATTGTGTATTAATTTCACTGATCATCAAACCCTTTGTAACTCACTGAACTGAGGGGGGGGGGGGGGGA